TTAGACTATCCTTGCATTTTGTAGAAAACGTATAGTTCTATATCGCATACGTGTATGATTTTTGAGTTATGGCTCTTTAATAATTTTTATTTTTAAAGTTTGTCCGGACTTCTTCTCTTATACCACTAATGCAATTTCAATAAAAACTTAACAGGATTGATCTGTAGCTCAAGTCCTTGCGTATATTGCACGGGTTTTCCGGTTGAATGATTTTTGGCCGAGTTATGGCCCTTTGATTAAAAGGTGTTTTTATTCTGTGTGTTGCTAGATATACAAAAGCTTGTCCGGACTACTCCTCATAAACTACTGGTGCACTTCCATCCAAACTTTACAGGAATGATCAGTACCAAGTCTAGTTGCGCATATTGTCAGCATTTTCCGGTTCAGTGATTTTTGTCAGAGTTATGGCCCTTTAATAATTTTTATTTTTAAAGTTTGTCCGGACTACTTCTCTTATACCACTAATGCCATTTTAAATGAAACTTTACAGGTTTGATCTGTAGCTCAAGTCTTTGCGTATATTGCACGGATTTTTTGGTTGTATGAGTTTTGGCCGAGTTATGGCCCTTTGATAAAAAGGTGTTTTTTTCTGTGTGTTGCCAGATACACAAAAGCTTGTCCGGACTACTCCTCATAAACTACTGGTGCAATTTTATCCAAACTTTACAGGAATGATCAGTATCAAGTCTAGTTGTGCACTGTCCGTCTGTCTGTCCGTCTGTCACAAAACTTGTCCCAACATGAAATTGGGCATCATGAGGCGACACATGTGATCACTGATCGCTATTGTGTTTGTTTTGTTTTTTTTATTGTTTTTTTCAAAGTATTCAAAGAAAAATCGATCATTAAAAGGATGGCGATGTATTTGATTTTAAAGTTTTTCTTTTCATAAAGAAAGCCCAACGCATTTTATTTTTGAAATGTGACTCTGCTTAAAGGAAACTTTGATTTTATATACAATAACATTTATAGCTTTACGGTCATTATTTACATATCTGTGGTTTAACCTATGTCGAGTGAAACCTGTAATGTAATACTTTTTTCTAGCTGACTATATAATAATCAATTATAGTTTTCTGTCTTATTGAATGTTAAAATGAATTGTCTGGTCAAAATTCATTATTAAACACATCATTCAGTTAATGTTTTGATTAAGTACGTATTGTCAATCTCAAAGGTAATTGTGGAGGAAATTTTTTACCTTACAAAGGCCAATGGAATCTATGGAGTGAACCATTAAACGAACACGTGTACACTAGTCAAATGTTTACATGCATAATTATTTGTAAGGACGGAAGGGAAATTAAAAAGTGTAGTAAAACAGCAATAATTGCAAATAAAGTTGTATGAAGTATGCAGACAGCACGCATACGGTTTCCAATCTTTCAAAGACTTATCTTTTTCATTCATCACTGAAACAACATACCAATTAACGCAATTTAGTAAGTTCCTTTATATGCTTCTGTATTAAATTTCAAGTTTGGCCTACATTATTGGGAAATGTGGAAGTTGTTAAGATTAATCGTGTTTTAGAACGGAAAATAACTTTCAAATTGCGTTTCATTTACAGCAATTTTCGATGCCATTCATCCTCATTTGATTCAATTAATGCTAAATAATTGACAACAATTTCCAGCAGATATGTTATCCGCTGGAGATAATTTTGCGTTTTTTTTTACTATTTTCTTCTCACATTCATTTCAGTACAAAACAATTTTGTCAACTATATTTTTGGTTCAGGAAAATTCTTGAAAAAAATACAAAAAATTTATTATCTGATGAAATATTATCTGCTTACATAAACGTTGGTCTTTACTGTCGATATTTAATTTTGCTTTAAACGTTTCACTAACAATTCATTGAGTATTAAAGTATTTATGTATTATTATAAAAGTCATTTTAAATGTTTGAAAAGAAAAAAGTATAATTTAAGTGGGACAAGATTTTCCTAATTGTCAAGTTCAATACATGCAAGTATTAATTTGTTTAAACAAAAGTGAACACAGCTTTACTTAATATACCTTAGTTCACATTATTTATTAAAGTTTACTTTACATGGACATTAATGGTCGAGGCACTTGAATAATTGATCGTGCGTCTAACATTAAAACAAGTTATCAATAAATTTATAATTTCAATTCATAAGAACTTCATAACTGGATGAAATCTGACCCACCTAGATGTTAATTGTAAAACAAAAATCGATTAAGTATAAATGACCGCTATTGACAGAATGTTGAACAAAACAGTATTATTGTGATAACAAACATGGTAATAATGGTAATAATGCGAAAACAGTGATTTGCCATTACCAGATAGATTTTGTAGCAAACTGAATGACGGTTTTTACCGTATGAACATTGTTTTTGTTGGGTTTTTTTTCTTTGAAAGATTCATAAACACCCAGTTTCAGAGGGGTTTTCTTTACGGATTGAGGCACCAGAATTGCAGCCACTGTTTTACCTTGCGAGATCGTAAGAGGCGACATAAAGGGTTTGAATTACTGTAGTCTATTAACTCTTAGTTCCAGCAGGTGAAGTGTTTTCGACAATTGATGTTGCTTTAAGTATGTAACATCCGCTCCATATGACCTAAAATGTGTAAGTGAACAGTAAAATAGGAAATAATTAGGCCCATTGTATAATTTGAATATTTTATAATGCATTCAACTGTGTTACGAAAGTAAGTAGTATTTTGAGTTTATTTAACAATCTTATCTTTTTTGCCGATGCCGTTACTGTTGCTGAGAAAGAAACTAGAAAGAAAGACAAGTAAATATCAATGGTGAAACAAAACACAACTTCCCTGTGTAATCGATGTTCATTGTTTTGTTTTTTTCCTTCTCTGTGTTTTTAATTGTTGTCGGAAAAATATATTATGGCCAGACGCTATTTCATAAAGATAAAAACAGCACAAAAACAAGTTAAGAATTCTGGAGAAATTTCATAATGATTTATTATAGTTTGGTTGACTACGCGATAAATTTAATCATGTAACTGTATAAGAAAAAGAAAAAATGAAGTATTTAGATCCATCAATATCTAAAAAAGATGACATTAGATTTACCTGAGTTTTTTTTAATTATTATATAAATTGTAAATATATGATAACAAAATGTTATCGCAAAAAGGCAGTATATCTTTAATGCGCATAATGGTAATTTTTAAACACTACAAATGGAGTATTTTCCAAAAGTAATCATGCAGTACAAGACAAGAATAAGTTATTTTATATTTTGTTTATAAGATATGATGAATTAAGCATCGTTTTTTCAACATTTCATATTACAGTGTCGCACAGAATGTTCCTTTATTTGATACGCATATAAGTTTATAACTTAACATTATTTGATACCATTATTCATGTTGTTTAATTGATCCACGATGTCTATTTTGTAGAATTAATAGAAATAAGATAAGATGCCTTTTCTCTTTTATGTTCTATTCTTAAACAAAAGATTAATTTGATATTTCCTAGGGGAACCGTGAATTTATTTCACATCTTATTCTGCAGACACTCCTGAAGGCGGCTTAATTTTATATTTGCTCTACATTCAAAAGGCGGGGTTTGCTTTTTTCGCCTCTTGAATTGCTGTATGAATTAAACATGCAATATTTTCAAATCATTGCAATACAAATAAAGTATGCCATTTACCTGTCCTACCGCAGTTTATGATAATATCAAATAAATGTAGTTAGTAAAATTATTCTTACAATAAATATGTATTGTATATATCTATACTAGTACACGGATATAAACATTGATGAAAGTGTAACGCCTTGTCGTGTTTTTAAGGATAATTCATTATTCAGAAGTCTTTAAAATTGTCAGAAACAGTCCAAATCATTTTGCTATTAAAAATGCGATGTTAACTAAGCATACACATTTTGTTTGTTTTGAGTTGATATAAAAGAACAGACAATGCAATATTTCAATGATGTAAAGGGTTGAAACAACAGTAAAATATGGTTTTGTTGTTGTTGTTTCTTGTTTCAAGCTTCCCACAACAGTAATTATATACAAATTGCAGAATGCATGCGTAGGCGACGCGCATTAACATTGATATCCCTTCATTATATTGATTCACCCTTTGCATCGTTAACACAATTAGCGATAATCTTATCGTGTGAGTTCCTATGCAATGTCTTATGTCTCAATAAATTTACTTGTTTTTAGTGATAGCATCCCTGCCTGAAAGGCATGTTTTGTTGACAATCGTGGCCTTAAATATAAGTTAAGTAGATTAAGAAAATGAAATAACAATGTGTGAAATATCAAAGATTGGAGGTTAAGTGTTTTGTTATATAAATACTTTTTCATTCACATGTTTTGATATTTTTCTTGCACATTTTCTTTTGAAATGAACTTGGGGTATGCTCCTGTTTAGAAAGGATCTAATCCTGGCTGATTTTAAATTTAACAGAATAAACAATTTAAACTTTGTAAAAACACTACTGCAATTGGCCTAAAAATCCCTAAAATATCATGAAATGATAGTATAGCTTCAAGCTGACCGAAGATAAAATATATATAAAGACGTGCTAGTGTCTCAGGATTGGTTGATAATGATGTATTGCGCTACGGGTGACAAATCAATAACGAAGTAAAGGCTAGAACTAACAGAATGAGGTATATTAGGAATTATATCCCTGTATACATAGAGAATAGAACTATTAATATGAACCTTCTACGATTACAAGCCGGAAAAGATTATATGATCAACATTATAAAGTATGATTTCAGTACAGCGGTTTGGTAAAATAATATAAACATACATTACCGTTCAATCATAGAATTTCTGGTATTTGATGGATATAATATGCTTGTTTGCCTTCGCTTCAATTTATGACAGATAGTTTGTTTGATTTGATTTCGTTGCCAATCATATACAGTTAAATATCAATAAACCATAGCAATTGTATAATACTGGAAATATTGGAACTGTTTTCTGTCTTTTTTCCTTTTTAATGCACATTTCTAATGATGTGTATTAAACAAGTAACTTATGTTTTCATTGTCACATTTTTTCGGAATAAAACTTCGGTAAGTTATTTTTGTTGGTGTTCATTTTATGATACTTTCCTGTTTATTATTGCTAGATACACAACGTAACTTATTTATTTGTATATAGTTTATTTGTATTCACTGTAATAACTGCATTTTATTTACTAATAAAGTAATGTAGTTGACTAATGTTTCAAACAAACGAAAACATGACAGTCAAGAACTTTTGAGTCAATTAATTTAAAAGATGATTTATCAACTTTAACTCACAAATCGATAAAATAATTCAGATTTAAGAATAATTAGTATCTTAAGAACAATCCTTCTACCATTATCAGAGAAGACAATCGGTTTAACCATATCATGTTTTCAAGTTAAAAACAGATGAAACAATATAAAAGAAGCAATGATTGTTTTTATGAAAATAAAGAGGTATAATGAATTCTACCTTTGATCACAATTATAACAGTTGCTTTATTTTCCAAGTTTATCTGTCAGTGACGAAGCATGTGTGTCATTAATTTTTCAAGAACAAATGGTCAAAATAAAATTGATTGACATATCATGTCACATAATCAAATTTTGAATGCTTTTTGTTCTATAGGAAAAAATAATATAACTATTAAATGATTCAGCGGAACACTCTTTTATTAGACATTGATGTGACATAGAATGCAGAATTGTGTAGCAATCCTGTACCATTTTTATATTGGTTCATCAAATGCATATATGCGCTTTAGAGATGATATGTTTGATGTTAAGGACATCAGGACTGTAAGAAAAAACATATAGTTCTTAATCATTATCAAAATCATTTGAATTTAAATTATACGTGTATCCATAAATGTACAAATATATACAGCAATACATTTAACACTGTGAACAGACAAGCTGCATGCAAAACGAGATGCAAAATAGTAGTCTTTCTTGTTGGATTGTCGTTGACGGTAGGTATTTTCTCTCTCCCCCCCCCCTTCCATTTTTAATTCCCCCCCCCACCTTTTCACCAGTACAGCCCTTTTCCCTTTAATTCCCTTATGGGCCTGTTTTTGTTTATATTATTTCACATTACATGTCCCGCTCCTTTCGCCCTTGTGTCCACTCCAAGTACTTGTTTGGTGCCCTCTGGGTGTCCTGCTTGAGTGTGTCCGGGGGTGGCATCCTGTGAACGTTGCCTTTGCCTTGTTGATCTTTATTCTTGTTATTTTGTAACTCTTTGTAAAGGTATCTTTGATATCTTTAAGTATTCATTATTTCTATGTTTCACTAAGATAAGTTTGTTCTAATAACACCACTGTTATTTTAATTGCTTCCCTTGAATCTTCCCTTTTCCAGACTGTTATTTTATCGACATTTACTTTACATTTACATATTGCTATCTAATAGTGTTTTTCCAAAACATATAATTTGTATTTACGGAATACAATAATTACATTTATATTCTATGAATATTAGAAATATTTAGTTATACAATGTTAATCATGCAAAACATTTGTCTCGAATAGATCAAATATCATGTCTCATTATCATTAGACTGAAAGAAAGATGTAGTGATGTGAGATTTTTATGATAAAAAACCTCAGTGTACTCGTTATATTTAGGAAAAATGATTTCAATTCTGAGTGCATTGTTGTAGAATAATGCATGGTTTGAGTTCAAATGTGTAGTAATATAATCACGAAGGCCGATAGAATTATTTACAAAACATTTAACGTAAAAACGTCCATTATTATACAATAATGCACGAAGATTTAATATCTTATCTATTTCCATTCTAACACGTCAAGAAAAAATATAATTATTACTATATATTTTGACTTTTTGTTTGGTGGTTAAATTTGTTTTCGCCTCAGGGTTTCCAATAGAAACGTTCTTTAAAGGCTGTTCCAGTGTGTTAAAAAAATTTGTCGTTAAATCTACTGTGTGTCGAAACATTTTGAGAATAACGAATTTTTAAAACGTCGATAAAACTTTGTATGTTAATTGTTTTCACTATACATTTTTCAAAGCGAAATACAAGGTATTAATAGTGGAATAATTGTGAAATTTAACTCGTTCGCGACATTGAAATAGCGTTCTTGATTTGATTGTTTAGGCACGTGCTGTTTGGCGCTACATTGTGACGTCACGTTAACAACCTTTTAAACGTCTGTACAGCGTAAACGACTGAATTCAAGATATTGGTGTTTGGTTTAATTTTCTAAGTGAGACCATTTCCTTTCACTCTAGATAGTTTTCACAACAAAATTAGACAAAAAATTGATTTTTATTTATCAAACTTTTCAAACAAAATGGCGCCATCAATGTGTCGGTTTTAATATACATATGGAGGTAATAAGAAAGGCGAGTGCATTGTTGTAGAATAAAGGAAGCTTCTGACCATCTTTGTTTATATAGAATAAAATCTGATTGTGTTAGAATACGTAATAAAGATCGAGAAAATATAAATACTGAAACTTTTATTAAATGTGTCTGGGAAAAACATTTACATGTACCACTCATAATATTATAAATGGCTTTACCCATTTTTTTTATCTAAAACGAAGACCGGTACATCTTTTAATTTTGAGAAAACCATCATTTTCTTAATGAAAACTGACTGAATAACGAACAGTACTGTCTATGTTATGATGGTACGGACGTGCCGTCTTGGTCTACAGTATTACATTAGTCGAAGATGTGGTCACTAGCAGGGTTCAAATATATCTTTATATGCAGTTTTAATGTAGCACAAATATATGAAAATCATAATAAACAATTTAGATTATTGAATGTTTTAATTGAAAATTATTGTAATTTTATGATTTAAAACTGATGTTAGATTTGGTAAAAGGCTTTTAATACAATTAGACTTTGTTAACTTATACTGATCACATGATTTATTAAGGAAATTATCATTCGTATTAAGTCAACAATAAATATTTGAACTACTGCATACACAACGTTTAGTTTTTGTATGGGATTAAATTATCATTTAACCAAATTTATCATGTATACTTTTTTCTTTTAAACAAAAACTGAAGAATAGTTAATTCAACTACTAGCATGTGCGTATGCGATGCATATGAAAATTAGTAAACACGTTTCAATAATCAAAAGTCTTATATCGAATAATTAAGTTCGGTAGTCTGACTTCAGTTGCAGCGACTAGTATCAAAATAAGTATGCCTCTTTTGCTTGATTGACAGCGTTTTTCTCTCAAAAGCTTTTATTATATCCAAAGTGCAATTAGTTTTTTGAATATGTTTCATTTTTAATATTTCATTTCAGGTGTGCACTACAAAGTGATTAATAAAAAAACCCGAATAGCGCGATAAGTTGGCGGATAAAATATTTTCATTTGAATATGTTTGCATCGCGATATTCGCCAGTTCGCTATTCATTGTTCGCGACATTTCATTTTTGATAATCAAATACCCTCATACCAATCGGAATGATCGGCTATTATGACCGACGAAAAGGCCCGAGAAATTGCTACCGCTCTTTCACAAAATCTGATTATATTCCATAAGGGGCGTCGAGCTTCGGCGCGGACGCCAATGACAACGATTCATCATAAATGGACAAATCTGGTATCTAATTTACAAATGTATAGCTATGGTTTAATCTTTTAGGAATAGTAGCTCCGTTTATCTTAAACCTAAATATCAAATGATTTTTTTTCAGATGTTCTAGCATTAGTCAAAGTAGCGTAGACAAATAAGGTATCCGAGACGTGATTGAGGCCATTGTTTGTTGTTGTCATTTTTATCGATCATTTGTGCTATAAGGAATACTCCCGTCTTACAAACTGTGATTTTGAATTTACGGTTACAAGTGTGTTGAAAGAAAAGCTAGCAGTTGGACATAATGAATGTGGAACGACTGATTTAAGAAACACAAATGGATTTGATATAAATATCTACAGAACAGTGCATTAAATGTAAACATTTGCAAAGGAACAGTACATTTAACAACAGAAAGGTAATCCTAAATAATTCTGAGTAATTTTGAATTCATTTTAGATTTTAAGATACAGCTCAAGTTTGATAATTGATCAGTCATTACCTAAGAGGAATGAGCTTTATTTATAGTGTTGCTTAAACAGGGTTCGATATTCATCATTTATAATTATTTAATTGAGAGGAGTACTTTTCAATTTTTTTATAGATATGCAAAAAGAGACATAACGTTTTTTATGCGAGCTTGTTTTCTTTTGTAGGTAATACATGTATAACATTTACACAGATTTAATTAAGTGCCCATTGTAGTTTGTATTTAATGATGTGATTTGCAATACCCGTTTCTTTATTGTTATATCATAACACTTACATAATTCAATTATAATTATAAGCAAATAATCGACACTGGTACAATTTTATATTATATACAAAACACTTCATTATAATTATTTATTATATATTTAACATGTCTATATCTACCCACATAAAATATACCTGATCTCTATTTTCGTTCCCTTATTGAACGAACACGTATCGTTTGTTGTAAATAGCCACATCAATAATAAACCGTATGTTTTCCTGATTTTCTTTATGATATACAAAATGGTTGTGTAGCCTGTACCAGACAACAACAACAAAAACAACAATTTTATGTACACATTTCATGTGAAACTTCCATATACAAAATGATTGATAGCTGCTGATGGAATAATTCTTTTTTATAAAGTATCAACAGCACTGTAGTTTAATTAAAATTGATTGCATGCTGAATGTCTGGTTTTCAATTTAATACAGAGTAATATTTCTGTTCCATACAAAATTAAATGCTTTAGACTGTAATGAACTCTGCATAATGAGGATTGTTTCCTACTGAATTTATCTATACATGATATTTATTTGAATGGGAACTTTAAATAATTCATGTTAAAATTTACATTTTAAAGTTGTGTCTATGTATAGAGATGGTATGTTAAAAGTATCTGATTAAAGGGGTAGTCCCTTGATAGCATTGAGGACTAGAACATATTTGCGAAAATCGCAGGCAATAAAACACATATTCAAAAGACCCTGTTTCTTTGACTCGTACGTTTTATGTCT